ACAAACACACAGATATATATATACATACCACACACACACACACATATATATATTATATATACAACACAAACCTAGATATATATAAATATACATATATTTTAGTTAACGTTTCGTTTTAGTGAACGATAATAATCCTGCATCCAATTAAAAAATATATAGACTGTTTACCCTTCTTTCTCAGTCAAATACCCACTCAAATATGAACTTGAAGGCAGCATGCATCACCGTCCTGCACACATTGTCAGGATTTACATTTTATTTTCCATGCATTTATTTCTTTCATCCGTTACCAAAGACGAAACAATCAGCAGGAGAGTGAAGCTGTGCGATTATATATATTTTTGTCTCCTGTTTGTGGAGATCTGCAGCTTCTAGTGGCCAAACCTAAAGGTAAAATGTCACTGTATGATAATTGAGTGCCAACGACAGATGCCTTAACGATAATCACAGAGGATGGTAGTATACGTTCGCCAAGACTCTCTTCCTTTCCCACGAGTCTGTGCGGCAAACCACAGAATCTGACAAATCATGCAAAACACTCATTCCTGACATCCGCTGATCACCAAAACTGTAAATATCCCTCTATCTTTCCTCCTCTCTCTCTTTCTCTCTGTTCCTCTATAATAACGATGCGGGTAAAATAGTTAAATAGACACAAAGTTTGTATTAAACGTCTGGACTCTTTGTGCTCTGTTGTGGATAAAACTAAGTGTAAAGAAGCACCTTGTGAACAAAAACGACGAGAAACAAAGGAGAGAAAAAAAAAGAGAAGCTGTTTGTGAACTACACACATTTGGTAAGAAACAGACTCCTGAACTTGAACTCTCGCACACCTGGATGTTGTTTCTTCAAAGGAAAGAATAACCCATGGAAAAGGTGTGCTCTTTCCCCATGTCTCGCTGTGCAGACAGAAGGAACAGCAGACGTCTGTAGCATTTGAGAAGGAAGCATCGACCAGGTGAAGAGCGAGTTTTTATTTCTGCAAACTCTTGATGAAGTGAAGCAAAAATGTGAACAAAAAGCGAACACACACCTCGTTTGTAGTGAGAATCAATGTGGCTACCTCACAGAAACACAGTGGTGTGTGTTTGATACAGCCACTGATACCAAAGATTCTTCTTCAGCCTGCCAGTTTAACCATCATCATCATCATCATCATCATCTTCATCATTATCATCTACACACACACACTACAGTAACATATTAAATACTATAGTGTTTTTGAACCACAGCCTACAATAGCAAAGCACTTGAATGAATCTGCTGTGGTGATTCCACAGTTGCTTTG